TCCAGCTTGGACTGCCCCATGGTCATAACTAATTGGTATTTGCTATGTCACCTGCCAGGGGAACAGCTCTTGCTGGCAAACTTATTAAGTGGCCTTAATCAGAGCCTAGGAGCCCTGTACAGGTCACCCCACGCAATCTTATAATTGTCTGATTACATCTTAGCTACTTTTCTTCCTTCCTTGTTCTCTAATGGATGATACCTGTTCTACCTCATGTTATAATGCAATACTACATGTTATGCAAAGTCGTCAACAGCAGTTTTTCAGTGATTATTCATATATCTAGAGGATAAAGCCTAACCTGTGCTATAATGAGTAGTTACCCCAGCACCTGTGCAACACGTATGTCGACCTCAGGCAATGAGGAGACAATAATGTCATTAGAGGCCATGATGTCATAGTTCCCCGAAGTTTCACCTGAAGACGTTGGCGCCATTAGATTATGTCATCAGAGGAGATGACGTCACAGGAACCCAGAGACAATGATGTCATAAAAGCAAGTACACATATTGTGTTATAATAAAGATTGTTCAATTTATGTCCAATTTCATTATTCCACTGAACATTAAGATTCAGTTAATAAGAAATTCAGCATTATTTTGTGATCAATATCTTAACTGATTCTTCAGTTATTAAGAGGATTTAACTGATAGCTCAAAGTTTAATTCAGTTTTACCTGGATATACCATACCACAGATTAGACAGATAGTAGAAAATTTTAGTTCCATAACCATAAAAATAGCATATCCTGTGGTCAAGAAGAGACAAATGATGAGCTGTCAAGCATAACTTATCATTCTCTCCTCCTAGAGATAGAGTTCCTGGTTTATATATAAGCAAAACTATCACTCTGGCCAGTCAACAACAACTTAATTTGGGCAAATGGAGATAGACTAGATGTGAATGGAGAGGTCAAACTTTGACTATTTGTTGGAGGTTTCGCTTACAGACTGAAATTATTTTTCACCAACTTTAGTTCTGGCATCAGCATTCTTGGAATGAATGTACAGAAGACCTTATTAGTCAGTTTCATCTTTACAACTGGTAGACTGCATAGTAGTTTTCCAATGTCAGGCAGATCAATCCCATGCATAGCAGACTGCACAAGTGTATGTAGGAGAGGAAGCCACAGTACTACCATGTACACAAATGGTTCTTCATTGGTGAATGTGGTAATTAAATGAATAAAGGTTTTTTTGGTAAAACTTTAAATTATTTTTTTATTTTCTATACCCTGACACAAACTGTAGTGAAATTATCAATATACATCAAAATAAATAATTAAGATACAAAATACAATTAATAATGCATTTTTCTCTCTCTGCACACTGCAGTATCAATCACAAATAATAGTTCCAAATTACAGTTTCAATCACTAAAACTTTTTAGTTTTAATTTCATAATTTTATTGCCATTCTTTGTAGTTCTATTCAATGAAATAGTAACTTTCATGTGAAAAACAATAAAGAACAGTGGGAGCCCATTAGCTATTTTGGGTAAATGTAAACACCATGTAATTGTAAGGTGCTCCATTACAAAATCAGGCTAATGTCATTTTAGAAGTTTTATCTTACTGCAGTTTTGTTAAGCTAAGATGGAAATTTTATAATTCTTACATTTTAGTTACTTGTGTTGAAAATGTATAACAATAAATAAAAAATTACATAAAAAACAAGAATTTGTAGTACTCACTGATGCTCCATGCAGTTTTTACTCAGACTTTATCTGTAGTCTCACAAACTTGAGTGTTAAGAATCAATTTATGTAATTTTCATATAGATATTTCACGATATTAAAATATATCAGTCACTATAATAGATTGTCCCAAAACTACTATAATTTACTATACTTTTTAAGTAAGCTATAAAAAGATTGAAAAACTTCTGTTAGCTAATTGGATTGGCAATATAATGATCACACACATTTGATCAAGAAAATAACACAGGTGCCAAGACTAAATAGCTGGTATCAATTCACCTTTAGAGGAGATTCTGCTATTCTTATTGGCTATAAATATGTCTGTCATCAATGTAAAGTTAATTAGCAACCAATGTAGAACGTCAGAGTGAGAGGTGAAGGGCATCTCTTGTGAGTTTTACAATAAATATATTGATATCCAAGTAAATCAAGAAGATACAAGGTGCAAATTTTAAACTATTGCTTTATAATCATGTATAGTTTGTGTTTCTAACAGTTTGGAAACTGAAGCAGTCTATATCTGATGTTACAAAAGTTTGAAGAGGTATGTTTGAGCTAAGACTCATCTGGTGACACAGAAGAATGAAGATTGTTTCATTTTGGAATTAAGAAGTTAAAACTTAGATATAAAAATTGTAATTAAAAATTAAATTTTATGCCATGCTTACTGACATACATTGATAATAAAGTGGTTTAATTAAATTTTGAATGTAACAATGTAGATAGTCATGGTATGCCCACTTTGATTCAATTGGATCAAATAAAAATATTTATGAATTGGTGAAATTATCAGTAGTATATGAAATTCACAAAACTTAAATATCAGATCAAATATGAATATGGTGTACCTAGTGTTTTATTTGATTGTGATAGAATATTTTCAATCGTACAGTTGAAGTATTTAATTTCTGTAGTGCATATTGGTATACAGAAAACATTAATAATAGAAATAAATGACCTTATAACACCAAAATGTTGTTTTTATTAATTAAACACTCAACATTTCGCTTTACAGCTTCTTCAGGAGCATTCACTAAAACACAAACCAAAACTAAATACTAGAAGTAAGTGACCTTATAACACCAAAATGTTGTTTTTATTTAACCGAATATTCAATGTTTCACTTTACAGCTTCTTCAGGAGCATTCATTAAAACACAAACTGAAAGATTGAAATATTTAGTAAAGTATTGTTTTCTAAATTTTTCCTTAACATTGTTTCAGTACAAGATGCAAGAAAATGCAAGCTATAATTGTACTATGGGTAGGTGGAAAGTAATTTACTTGTTATTAAACTTGTAACTGGAAGAAGGTCCCTAAGGAAACACAACAGAAACATTAGTAAATTCTAACAATAAAACTAAGAGTTAACTTGAGTCAGCTTGTGTGTAAGATCCAGTTTTGCAATCTCCACCCTATTCCTTTCCTAATGGAATGGGGAGTTGTTTACTTAATCAAATGATAGTGGAAGGAATAGATCTGTTAATCACTGCCATGGGAATAGAAACAGAAAGAAGCAAAACTAATAAGGGATAAATATTCTATGGGCGATTACAGCATAAGCATATGTGAAACTCACAGAAGTGTTACTTGACCAAGGTAATCTGTTTAATAGTCTGTTTCTAAAGATTGATTTTTGAGGGGAATAATGGTTTTAAAAAAGAAGTTATAACCCTTTTTCAGTCCTAGCTGACCTTTTGACCAATTATAATTTATTTGACCTTACATTTCCAATCTATACTTTTGCTACTTAAGATCGAATTGCTAATGCTAATGGCATAATTAGTTTCTAAAATAAAAGTATAAAAAAAATCTGGAATTAATATTAGAATAATTCCACTGTCTTATTAACAGACAATATGATTTAAATTTAATACATCAAATGTATGTTTGGATCTCTCTGTCTCATCTGGACTTCACCTCTACACATCATCGTCAGCCACAACATCTTTGCACATCACCAAAAACCACTGGAAAAGAAGACCTTCATCATGCCTTCTCCAAGCTTCTTCACAGCTTTCTCTCAAAAACTTCCCGTCAACATTTCTAAACATGATTATAGTCACTGAAGCTAATTACTTTCACGAGCAGGGTTGAAGGGAAACAAATGTTCCTGAGCACACCTGTTGGGAAGAGTAGGCAACTATCACATTGTTTTCTCTTCTTTCTTGCTTATGGCATTTTTGTTCTAAAGCTAGCAAATGGTATTCTAGTCTCTTGTAAGTTGAAGTCTCCAAGTTTCTATAACTGCCATATAAAGTTAAATCCTGACTAAAGTGTTGTACCCCAGGGTTCCAGTAACTATGAGGTAAACTATTGATGATAAGAAGCCAGCAAAATGAGATCTGCCAGCAGGAACCTTCAACATGCAGGCTCTCTTGAAGGTTGCCAATGGCCTCTCTTTGTAGTCCTGTAAAATGTCAACAGTGTCAGTTGAGCCTTCAGCCCCTCCAGCATCAACAGAAACAGCTCCTTCAAAACTAATTTGCCCATTGTGCAAACTGCAGTCAATGCTACCTCAGTGAGTACATATGGTATGCTATTTTATTTTTGTATCATTATTTTTTATAGTCATGCTGTTGTAAAAGAAAAAGTAAAAAAAACAAACAAAAAACTTTACTCATTCACACCATTTGACTTGAAAAGTTGTGAGATCACTGAAGCTACGTAAAAGATAATATCCTTCCGAGGGGTTTTGAATACACTTGTTGTATATGAGACATTTCCCCTCACCACCAGTGACTTCAAGTTACAAAAAATTAATTTTGTATCTTTTCAATTTTAATTGTATATACTGAAGGGTTTCTTCTTGTTTTTGTATTGCAGTTATGTAGATTATTTATTATTAAAAGGTTTGTTACTATATTTGTTAATTTTTATATTTTGAAAATAGATTTCATAAAATATATTTTAAATTATACTTGTGGCCACTGGTACATATGTGTATGTTTTTATTTTCATGTAAAATATTATGAACGACATATTTTATGCCAGTCTGATTCTGTAACATGTTTAATTGAGTTTCGTGCATTTTGTATTTATTTATGATTGTCATTATTATATATTTTTTTAAATAATCTAATTTTATATTCTATGTTAAAGGGTTTAAGTTGTGATTTTCATTGTTAAATGTTCTATGTTGTGCATGCTTGCTTCAGTGTCACAGGATTTATTTGTGTACTGTATGTAATTCTATGTTAAAGGGTATTTTTGTAAATTTTGATTATGTAATGGTTTTCTTTGATTAAAGGTTGTGATGACCGTGTGGTGTGTATTTTCAGGAATGAAAGTTAACACACTCCGTAACCAGGCCACAAATTTTAATTTTACTGGTTTAAGTAAAAATTACTTTTCAGCTTGAGAACAAGTCTGTACTAGGGAAAACAGGAAAGCAGTATATGAAAATATTATGCATTTCTATATCATGCACATTTCACGTAACACATGGTCAAGAAATCTGTTAATTTCAATCTAGCTGCCCTTATTCCTTTTTATTTCTCTAGTGGGTAATAAATGTTCTGTTCATTGAGAGGAATATTGTTATATGTCCTTCAACAGTTGTTCAGGTGATACCTAAAGTTTAAAGCTTCACATGTGTTGTAAAGAGAATGACCAGCAATGTGTTGCTCTGGGTAAATGTAAAAAATGTCAGATTTAGACAGTCAGGTACAGGATCTTCAAGAAGCAGTGAAGATAATCCAATAAAAGTGACAATCATATTTAGGTAATAGCACACTGTGTTCCTGTATAGTGTTTGTATTAAAGATTGTTCATTTTGCATTTCACTTTGTCTCATTATTTCACTTAGCATTACAACTCAGTAAGAGATTTAGCATTGTTTCATGATTGATATCTTCACTAAGTATCCAGTTATTACACAGACTTGTCTCATTACTTAAAAGTGAATCCAGTTTTACCTAGATTTATCATACTTTTACTTATTAGTCAAAAAATCTCACTTTATTGGTATCACATGAAAACAATGCATTTTCCATTGCAACTCAGTCTGAATTATTTCTCATGCTGTCAACTACAATAGATACCATTATATAGTGACCAGTAGAAGAATAGAAAAAGGGTCAACCCATTGAAGTGAAAGAAACACATGACTAGCATTGAAACATCAGAAGTCCTGCCTTCAACAGAAATGTGTCTCAACAGAGAGGGAAGTGTTGAAGAAAGCAGAGATCTTGTGTGAAAGGAAGTAAGCGAATGCAGGAAGTTTGGAGATACTCATAAATGAGAAAATGAACTCCAAGAACTTGGTTGAGACAAGAGAATAAAAAATCAAAAGTACCAAACATTGAATGGGTGTGAGAGAAGATGTAGTTCCCAGGACAAGTCTCCCTTCTCCCAGCAGAGTAGCCATAGGAAAGGAAGGGAGGTAAAAAAAGAGGAAACATTCATGAATAGAATAACAGAAGAAAATAGTCCAGGTAAAGAACACCAGCCCTGGGCTATGAACATGACAAGTGAAGGCCCATACAATGCCAAAGAATATAAGAGGGGCCAATGTTGACTTGAAGGGAAGAGCAAGGAACGAGAAAACATGAAAAGGAATGAGAAAGAATAGAAATCAATGGGAGGACAGGCCAAGAAGGAAGGTGTCTGACACATTGACCACTGCCAAACACAGATGGGTGAAAAAAGACCAAAGATGGGGTCGAAGGGAGGTGAAAAGAAAATTGGAAGAAAATGGAAGAAAAGATGAATGGGGAAAGAGACCAAGTGGAGAAATGACTCAGCAGAAACTGTGACCAACAGCAGCAGAAGAGATAGGTACCCAAAGAACTGTACATGTATGATTGTCACTGATAAGAAGAATGATGAACTAGATTACAGGTCGAGGGAAGACAAGAAAAATGAGGAAAGCCTGGAATTCGGAATGGGAAGGTGAGAAGGATCTAGACAAGGAATAGGAGTAAAGGGCAAGCAAAAAAAGAGGAAAACAAAACCTAGGAAGATACTGAAAACAAAATTTTTATGACAGCAGTCCAAGTCACCAGGGAGAAAGAACATCATAGAAGACACCTGGGCAAAGAAAGGGAGCCAGACAAAAAAAAAAAGAAGTATAAAAGGAGAAGAAAGGGGTATAGGAGAGAGGAAAATAGTCCAAACAGCAAGGAAACAAAGTATGGAGGATAGAATTGAAGTGGAAGAGGCCAAACAGAGAAGGGAATTAATATCTACAGAAGCATTAAGAAGTGCCTCAGATAAAAGGAGATAGGAGAGGGAATACAGAAAGGTAAAGAGAAAAAAATGCAAAAATGGAGAACAAGAAAGTAAAATAGAAGGTAAAGTGATCAATCTCCAAGCTGGCCAAATAGTTACTAATGACAGAGAATTGGAAAAAAGAAGAGAAGAGATCTACAAATCAAGACAAAAGGGTTCACAAACATAAGGGAATGAGGTCTTTGGGTGTATGAAAGGAGTTATTAGATAAAGGAAACAGTATAATAACAAGCAAGGGAAAAAAGACAAGATAAACCCAAGAATCATGGGTGAGAATGGGAGAAAACAAAAAAGAATAAAGAACACAGGCAAAATAGGTGGAAAGGAACATACCTGCGAATGAAATTCAGAAAGAGATTGAAAGGTTAAAGGCATTTCACAAATGGGAAAGTACTATCCAAAGCAAATCAGATGAAGGTCATAGTCTAATAGATCATTCCTGACTAACGAAATAGAAAGACGACTGATGAGATGGGAGTAAGGAAGCCCATTAAGCATGTGGTAATCCACAACACGTTGTACAATGGCTGCATTGATCCTGACAGTTAACGAGTCTCTGAAACCACAGCAGAAAGGAAGTCTAATTGTGAACAACATCTCATACTCAGGACTAATTATAAATCACTGTCATTTCGGAATTGATGATAAAAAAATTACAGCTTTTGAAATAGAAGCTGAAGAAAATGAAAATCAAGGTTCTTTTAATGATGCAAATCTGAATAAACAGAGGATGGAAGAGAAATTTAATCACATCTGTACAATACAATACCAAAGAGAGGATTGAATTTCTCAAGTGCATAGGGGAGTTATTATGCACGGAGATGCAATGCCCTTCTATTGGTGGAGGGTTTTGATTCACTATTACATCATCATGCAGTAATGCAGTTCACATTAGATAACATGAAATTAGGTGGAAGTTGCCTCAAGGCTAATGGCATACAAATATCTTTGGCAGATAAGCGAGGAAGATTGTCAACTGTATGCAGGTGTGTGTGTGTGGTATTGTCTTAGAAATAGGGCCACTAATGTTTCTAAGTTTACTTGCTTGATTAGCTTTAACTTATCTACTTCCATAATATTTTCAAGTTTTAAGATTGAATTGATGCTACCTATAATGGTAGAATGTGGGTTATCTGCTTGGGACTTGACTTAGAGTAGCTCATTTGGTACAGTAGAGCACTGGCCTCAGAACACAAGGGTGAACTAATGATTACCAGTTCAAGTCCGGAGCAAGGCACTAGTGTGCAAAAGAGCTTGCAACACTATATTTGCAACCCATAAAAAGAAAAGTATGAATGTGCATTTTCAAGTCCTGGAATTTGAAAAGTACATGAGGGCTAAAAACAGTCCTCACCAAACAGTACATGTGGGCTGTTAGCAGGTTGATGCTGTATCACTATTCTTTGTTTACAAAACTGGACAATAAAAGTTAATTTATAATGAATGAATTGTACTGTTGTTTTTTTTTATTAAGTGAACCTGTGGTCATATTTCAAGGACAAAGTAAGGGTAAAAGGCAAATATAAAGCCTGATACATTAATATGATGAATACAAAAATTAACAATAAAAAATAAATTCTATCCAGTAAAATTGGAAACATATAATGCTATAATCTCATTAAAGTCTGACACATAACATTTTGACTAGAATCATATGGTAAATACTTATTTGTAACTTACAGACAAGAGTGAAATGGCATTTAAATTTTCTGCTAGGAAATAAAACACCAGTTTCACTATTTATTCAAAAAATTAAGTCGTAAACTTGCATAAACACACATCTCATAAAAAAATTATGTTAATTTGAAATAAATCTACTTTGTATAGTCATTTGTATGTAGCAAGATCTTTTGTCTTGTTTAACTGTTAGCTACTGGAGCATATTCAATTATTATCCTTACACACACATTGCATGCATGAGAATCACCTCTATCAGCAGTGTTCAACATCAATTGATTCCTATGCAATAAGTTCTTGAAAAAAAATCTCATCAGTTTCAGTCTCATCACTTGATCTAATAGACATGTTAGAATAACTTACATCTTCATTAGCAATAGAATCAATTTCATTGTCTCTTTGTGACTTCCACTTCTTGGCTGCACATTCATGGTAGGAGGATTTTTATCAAGTTTCCTTTTCCTCCTTTTTGCCATAAACTCCTCCAAGGTTGCTTCTGATATTTGTTTCTTTTCCACATGTGTTCATATAAAATCATTTGTTATAACCAATACAAGGTTCTCCACTGTTGCATGTTTTAAACTAAGCCTTTGGCAGGTGAGCATACACATAAAGTGACTAAATCCTGCCTCAATGATACTATTACTGGGCTCTATGCAGAGCACTATTTCTACCAGAATACAAACATTCTTAAATTCCTTCTTTCTGTACAGTAACAAACGATTCCAGAAATCCTTAGTATTTGACTCCATTCTTCATGTTGTACTTAACCATTCTTTTGAATTCTTTCCATTTTGACAGGCAGAATTTAAAAAAATATTTCTTTTTTGCCAATTGTCAAACTAAAAGGCTTTTCCTTATACTTCTTATTAGTATAAATATATACTGTGCTGTTGTTGGGCTTAGGATTCTTCTACAGTAGGAGTCTGTGACTTGTTGGCAATAAATTCAGTGATAAATGAACAGCACGCATTTCATTCGTTTTCAAAATAATATAAATATATATTTGGATCAAGTGAAATGTACATACAACGAATTCTTCACGCTATAGAGATTATAGGCATATCATAAACACTATATATATAGTTCTCTTCTTCTTGTCAAAAGTACACTAGGCCTATTTAATTGCTTAAGAATTTCAGTTTATAAGCCGAACTATCTTCTCCATTACTATCGCACTAGTATTCTGTGTGTGATTCACTTGCAATTATGGCACAAGTTACCGTAATCATTTGGTCTTTCTTCTAAATACCCTCCATTCCTTTTGTCAAAGTGCACTCAAACTGATTCAATTACTTTAGAATAATGGTTTAATGGAATAAATTCTTCTTCTTATCTTCTTGCTACTGTAAGTCTTACTCTAAGATATTAAACATTAAGCATATATTAATTGTTAAGCCTATCACTTCTACGGTAGTTAACTTTACGCCAAACTTTTCCTTACTCGTAACTTTACTCTCTTCTGCTACTATCTGTCTGCTGTTTTTGCTTGTCTCATACTACTTATATGTTTATCATTTAATTATCTGTCCACTTTCTAGAAATCTCTATATTCACAAAGTCATTGTATTGTACATGACGTTCGATAGTCTCAACATCAATGACTTATAAACACAACTTCCTACAAATGTTTGCTTTTAGCTCTTATTATAACAAAAATTAAATAAGAATAAAATATTCATTCACAAAAATAAATTAATTAATAATATCCAAACTAAACAGTTTTTTATATCATGACACTGACATTTTCTTAGTTTTATCAAAATTGTTCATTTTTAGTGTCTCATTAACATGCTCTGCAAGCAAATTAAAAAAATTACTCTGATAGTGTCACTCTAGTTTTCTGAATCTATCCAAAACATAATTTGATAAAGTTCACTGTCAAATGAGGAGAATCTTGATTGAAGAAATGCCTGTACACTCAGAAAGACTGTAATACTCAGACTGTCCATTCACAGCAAGCAAGTAAGCTGTTTTAAGTTTTCTGTATATCTCCTTAGCTTGTGCATGTAGAACTACATTTATCCAAGGTTAAAGAGTGATGCTCAGCAAGAGTCTTATCATCTTCAAGCAACATTTTAAAGCCTAAAAAACACAAATGTGTAAAGATGTAAAGTTAGCATAACATACATTGCAATAAAGCAATTTACTAAAAACAGCAAAGCCTGAATTAATAAAATAAATGGACAGTAGAATCTATGTAACAGATAATCCTAATGACTGATAACAAAGAAATTTATCAAAAATAACATACATATAGGCCTATCAATTTATAAAAAATAAATAAACCAATGAAAAGATAATATTGTACATAAAATAAAAACCTTTAATTATGTTTAAATTTGTATTTAAATAATTAAGGCCAAAAAATCAGTTCTTTAATTACCTTAGTATATGCTCACTTGACACAAAGTTAACAAATAACAAAATCTAAAGTTCACAAGTAGCTTAAAAATCAGTTAAAGTGTATATCTTCAATTTAGGCTTTGGCCAATAACTTATAAATGCATACAAAGTTGATGACAATTTTAGCTTAAATAAGCCTAATTAAATTGCTGAATGTGTCTAAGACATTAACAACTGTTTTTCCTCCACTTTGTGTAGATGCTTGCAATTTGCATACCCACACAGACCTATACAGGCAACGTTTGGGTTTAGCTTTGAATCAAAGACAATATTATAGTATACTGACTGTAAAATATAGGTAATTGATGATACAGGCTGTATGTGTAATGACAAACAACAAAGAGATATTATTATAAATTTGAGTAATGAGTACAAAAATAAGATATGATGTATACATACTTAAACCAATTTGCTGTTTTTGAATTCAAATGGCGAGTGACAGTGTACTTCATTATAAATTCAGTGCCATATATAGCTAACAGGATCACACAAAGTTATTTGTGAGCTTATCCTGTGTAAACAAACAACATTTGATTGCATGAACAGCTAGTGTCATGATAAAGTTGATGGGGGAGCTCTAATAAGTCCTTGCAAAACCAATTTTATGGGCACTTATGAGCATCAGTGCCATGGTGGCCATCACACATGAAGGTCTGCATTTTATCTATCATTTTACTAGATAAAGCCTAAAATGTAGAGGTTAAAGTGGTGCTTCTTACATGTACTGAATTCTACTCAATTTGTGAACTAGAAATTAGAAAGAACAATTTGCTAATTGTAAATACAAATTGTACAGCATTTATGGATTGTCACTGAAAATTCCAAGTTTGAATATATCATGAACCTCCAATTTCTCCTCCAACCAACAAACTCTACAGCTTCTGAAGAATAATCACCTATTTTCTGTTACTTATTTCATTAACCTTGTTTTTATTTGACATTTGCAAATACATTTCATTTTATCCCATCATCATTTGCTTCTAAGTTCTATTTGAGCAAAGTACTAGTAGTACACATGAACTGTTAATTTCACTTTGAAATTTTTATACTCAATCGTATTTCCATTATCATTATGAGATATTGCCATCTTTCAATTTGTTGAGAACAAATTTTAATTTATTCTTTACAAAATAAAGATATCTGTAAATACACTGTAAGAGTAAGAGCTATAACAGTTTGTAAATTCTTACCTCTAAAACATACAAACCATTACAAAATTAGATTTTTTGAAACCCTGAACACTATAGATTATTGCCTTTGTTTGACTTTTTTGAGTCCTTAATAAACCAAGTTGCATCATATTTAGTGCTATTATTACATTTTAAATTCGAAGGAAAATTCTATTTGTTTAATCACATATATTATAAATTCTTTATAATTACAGGCAAACAAAAGCATAAATTATATTTACACTGACAGTAACAGTTTCTGAACTCTGAAGTCACCGAGTTTCTCTCTCTTAGTAGAATTACAAGTATTAGTACTCAATACTAACAATAGTATTACTAACTGTATTAGTACTCAGTGGTAGTGGCCTCGACTTACAAATTAGTATGAAAATTCTATCTTACTCAGTAACTGACAGTGACATAAAAACAACGTTTCACCTCACAATACGGGTCATCTTTAAGTTTCTGTCATAGTTAAACAAACTTTTCTTTATAAAAAGTCGCTTCTTGTATCATAAATTACTCAGTAGGACTCTCATTTCACACAAACGACTTTCAAGTTTCATTAAATCTGTTTCAACAGTTCACCTACCTCAATATTGTTTAGAACACGTCACGCACGACTGAGGCGCTTTTATGAGTATAGTCTGCTTCGAGGATAGATACTGAGGGATCATGGGATTGTAAGCCATATTTACAAGGTATGATGAAATTAACGCGAAGAAGAAAATTTTTGTTGTAGTGAAATTCATTCTTTTACTCTGAAATGTGAAATATCAGCGACTAGTTTCACGTTAACAGAAAAGCTGTAACGTTTTTGAAGGTCTCGTTTAATCATCTGTATTTCAATGCATGTTGTTGGAATCAGCTCAAGTCAAGGTGAAATCAACTGGATCATGGATGATCACTGATTTACTCATTTACTAGGAATATCATTTAGTGATTACTACTGCTACAAATAGTAATGTGGTACTAACAGTAACACTGAGTACAGGTTACAAATTCTAATATTACTAATGTTAGTGCAGTTAGTCTTTCGAGGACGGTTAGTATTTGACAGTCTATCGTTGACTGAGATTGTTATAACGTAGATTACCTTTTTCCTCATCAATAATCTTCACGTTGCAAAGTAAGTAATCGTTACTAGTATTACTATTACTAGCAGTATTATTAGTATAATACTAATTTAGGGATTGTGAGCTTGGACTTGGTGATAAACGTACTTACTAATAGTAATACTGTTATCAGTACAGTAATAGTAACTCAATTTTCAAACTTATCAGGCCATTTTCAAAATACTTAGTCTCCAAAGTCTAAGTCTGATGATAGATAGTACTCTGAACTGTAGTACTGTACTGTCTGTAGCTTGTGGACCAGGCTGCACTGGTGCAAACTTCCTAAAATGCCACATTGCAAGATAAATACACATCCCCTTTTAACTTTTAAGTTATAAAATAGATTTAATGCAAGTTAGTAGCATACTTAGTATACTGTACTGTGACATTTATGGCAGGGAAAATTGAAACAGAAACAGGGGATTAAGGTGTAAACATTATATATCACAATGAAAAAATAAAAGGTTTAGAAGAAATAAGGAAATTTTGATAAATTTAGTTGACTTTTCTGTGACTTGCATTATAAGTACATTAACCATCTATCATACCTCATTACCACTGGATATGGCATATGGATTGACATGTTATAACACTTTTTTTTTTACCATGGAAAGATTGAACTATTCCCTAAAATTAACCTACAGAAAATAAGGGACCATTTGGCCCTTCAAGTTTCAACAAAGGCTGTACTTGAAAACCCACCTTTTACTTTTCAAGAAATTATTGATTCCTCTTGTAAATACATGTAAAGTGCTGTTCTCCATTATTGCCAGTGGTAACTAATTCCATAAGTTAATTGCCCCTTTTACTTTTAGAAGAATAAGACTGTTTTAACTGGAGCCTAGTATGTCATTTTCAAATCTTACTTTAGTCTTAAGAATATAACACAAATCAGAGGCTATTATTCTATTGATCTATCAGGTAATCTTGTAAACTTCAAATGTGATAATTTTTTACCCTTCTTTTCTTAAGAGAAAATAAGTTTGTAATCTTAACCTATCTTTCTAAGATAATCATTTCATTTCCGGGAATCACCCTAGTAGCTAAAATTGAAGACATAAGGTCCACAGCAAAGAAAAAAAATGCCACTGGAAGTGCATTAATCAGGACATCATTTCACATAAATACACGAGTGAAATACAAAAAAGTATTCTCACCAAGGTAGAAAAATGTACATTACCTTTTAATAATGATTAAATATTTTTAATAAAATTATTAAATTTGAGGCATTTTCTAAAGTTAAACCATAGGATCAGCTTTGTCACAATACACCTATACAATATTCATCTCCCTGGCAAGTCAAAATCAATTCGTATTGTTTAATGCCAGCAAAATACTTTTAAGTAGTCCTAAAAAATTCTATTTTTGAACATTGACAACCATGATTTTTCAAATAAAGAAACTGAACTCATCTTTTCTGTTTGCTGTATACAAAGTAGTAAATAAAATATGTTAAACTATTATAAATTTAAAGTAATAAACTTCACTGCTCCATGTCATACTAAAACTCAATAATCCAAAATGCCCTTGCTCACACTAAACATGGTTTTGAAATGGCACACGTTTTAGTAAATAATTCATCTGTGAAAGAAAGCACTTTACAGGATCTTTCATAAATATCTGAATAGGTAGTCCTACATGTTCAAAACTACATTATGAACTTTTAAAATTTGATTCTTGACTTGGTTTGTTACAGCAATTAAATAACTTCAGTTGTAACCAAAATTTCAAATTAGGTGATTATGAAGTGATTATATCATTAAATATGCTAGTTATTTATGAACAGTTTTATATTTGTATAAACTCTTAATCTTTGATATTATTGAAAGCAAAAAAAGAAATGAAAGGAAAAAAAATTCAGATTTTTTTTTATGAAGACATTTTTTAAAATCGTACTTAAAGTTTTTCATAAAATGCTACTGCGTTTTCAATGGTTTTGCTGTATGCCATCTATAATTTTGAAGCCTACCTTCTCTGAACCATATCCAATTAGTCAATATCCTTTCATGGATAAGGAGACTAAAACTGTATACAGTATTCCTAACCAGTAATTTGTATAAAGAGATTATTACCTCATTGACTTGTAGTCAGTATGTCTATAAATACATTCAAAAATTCTATTGACTTTACTACAAGCAACGTAGCATTGCTTGAATGACTTGAGTGACTTATTCATAATTATGCCAAAAACCTTTTTTCCAGTCATAATCCAAACTGTGGTAACCTAAGTTCATTACTTTGTATTTACTATAATTAAAGGTCATTTGCCTGATATTTGTCCAACTAACCAATTGATTCAAGTCATTCTGTAATCCTTAAGCATCATCGAAATAGCTATGAGTATTCCCTTTTAGAAATGGATGCACTCTTCTTGTAAGTGATGCTTCTACTAGCTTGTCTGCTGTTGAAATGTTCAGGAAAGGTATCAAGAGTCATTGGAATAAAATTGGCTCCAGACGAATAACTTCAATCTACATATCCTGACCAATTTGATATACCATTCGACATGGAGATTTGTCAATGTTTCACAGCCCTGACAGTGAAGTACAAAAAACATGGTACCCCTTGTCATTACGTTTTCCAAGGGAATACAGTAACCTTACAGAGACATATTGATACCCATTGTGTCTGAATGGAACTACACTATTACACCTAAAAAGGCTGTCTGCAAGCTCAAGGTTTTGCATAAAGATGACATTTGCAATGGCGATTTCCCAACAGATGATCAACTGAAGCCATTAGTTTCTCGAATGCAGTCACAGCAAATGAGTCAAACAAATACCATCCAATATTAATTATGTTACCATGCCCATGTGCTTTACTGTGCACATCCACTTTGAAATAAAGCATCATAACTTTTCAAATATTTATTCAGCTTTTGTAACAAAAAGTTGTGAGAGTTTCTTGGCTCAAGATACATCTAACTATGTGTTTTTAACAGTTTTTGTACTGGAAAATTTTTGGTAACCAATAACCCCATAGTAAAAAGAATCCCCCTTAGCTCATATGACTGGTATTAAATAAAAATGTGTAATTATGAATTTAGTTATTTTTTCATACATGGGAAATTTTTTATATTTGTGTGTGTGTATGTGTAAACATATATAAGAACACACACACACACACACATATATATATGTAACATTTGTAACATTAAGAGTTGCTCCTTAGCTAGCAACAAATTTATTAAAGGAAACAAAATATACAATTAAAAATATATATTTTTATAAATAGCTTTATAACACATTAGTATAAAGAGTATCAATTTACAGAGAAATACAGAAGGATTTCTAATTAAATAAGTTAATTAATAAAAACAAGTTATCTGATTATATCTTCTAAAACCCAACTTTTATATTCTGTGTGTATGTATGTATGCATGCATACTAGCTGATGTAAGTGTTCAATTAATGGGGAAGATTAGGGGCCCTGGGGTAAAAGGGGAGTCAGATCCCCCCCCCCCCCATTGTGTCACTCCCCAGGTTAAGGGCTTCACTCTAACTGTAAAAGATTGGAGGAAGTATTTAGACTTCTTTATCATAAAATTTTTTATTTTGATATTCATACCGTTATTGTCCTGATTTTTGAACTCTGACATGACAGTAGTAGAACTCAACCACATTCTTTAATACAAACTAAATGTTTTTTCTTGTTCTAGCGAATGATGTCGTATGCTGAGATGAAGCCAACAGGATCTACTTTTAAAAACAATGCTACTCTATTTTCTGAGAGTCTAGAAATAAAAGAACCTTTATAAGAAAATGTAATAGATTGAAGGTAATAAGATATTTTCTTATGACCCTGTTATGTGTGGTGGAAAACTGTTATTTGTTGTCCTTCTGCTGAAAAATTGAGCAGTAGAATGTCTACAATCAACCACCAGGGGATCAAAAGTAATTCCCTGGTACCACACCAGACTCTTTTCACAGGTGGCACTGGAATCTTTCCTACTGGTGGAATGGTTAATAACTCATCTGTAGGGGTTATTCACACTATACCAACTGTGGTGGGGCCAAAATCTAACCAATCCAATCCACGACTGAGTTATTTTGCCCAAGCATGTGCTCCTTTCTCATCAACTTCAGGATTTCAACCAGTTCATGACAATAGCATGTCAGCATCCTTTGAACGATACATACCTGTTTGTCCTTCATGGACACCATTAATTAATGGAGGACCGCACATAGAACCTGAAGGTCACAGCCCTTGTCCTTCTAATGTTAATTCTGTTGCTTTGTTGCAACATTCCCAACCAGCAGTAAATATTGAAAGGCAACCTTACATACAAGGCACCCCAACTCACTGTGTTGGAAACCAAGGAAACAATTTACTTCTTTCATCAGCTGTGGTATACCAAGGGAACACCTCTCTTCCAGAAAGTATAACTGTCCCCTTTGGATGGAAAAGATTGATCTGCAATGGAAAAGTAATTTATATAAGGTAAGTAGTTGTTAGATGAAAATGTTAATGATTTTCGTAAATGAACTTTCACAGTGTATTCTACACATATTTCTCACAATAAAGAATGATGGCATTGGGTATAATTAAATGTATTTTTTACATCTTATAGAAATGTTATTATTTACTTATTTAATATGAAAATAGTATTACACCTACCTCTGTCTGTGATGTGTGAATAACCCATCAAAAGCTCAGACTGTCTTCCTGGTAGTTTTCATAGTCTCTAGAAAGTGGGAAGTTCCCAAGATTATTTCTTTGTCTTGAATTGCTTTATTAAGTGTTAAGGGAAAATGTGTAAAAATATTTTTTTTTACTCAAATATAGTTTAGTTAGTAAGTCTTATAAATTACAGTAGAATTCTGCAATATTGATTGTGTAATTTATAATAGTTGGTTATTTCAAAATGCATATATAAAACCTAAAAAAACTATTTTGTTTTACATCCTCCACATGTGAAATTTGACAAGGCTTAGCAAATTATGGCAAGCAGGCAAACAAGTACAAAGTTTCTAAGCAGAAAAAATCATTGATTTCTATATTTCTTTATTCACTGTTCTATTTTTTAAGAAAATTAACTGAAATTTAAGAACTTATTTCTAAATAATAATAATATATGTGCATATGTAATATATTATAACTGAAATGTGACTGTATTTTACAAAGTACTGGTTCACTTGAGCAAACCAAAGACCGGTCACTTTGTAAAGGCCAGTTTTATGCAATTGGATATGGTAACATGACTGTACATGTGCCTTGTCATTACAACTTCTGTAATGTTAGTTAGACATGGCTGGAAAATTAATAAAGAAATATATAAATAAATAATCATATATAGATGTATAATGTTATGAGATTTAAGCTATTTAGACTAAATATTTATGGTTTCTTGTTATAATATGTTGTCGTTATAGAACAAAAAAAGTGAAATTTATATCTATTTCCTAATTTTTTTATGTTGGTTACGAGGTCAGTCAGACAGATCAAACCCATGCAGAGATACAATAGTGAAAATAACAGATAAAATTGGAATTTTTTTTCTGGAAAAAACATTTGATAATTAACTGGAGGCTAATAAGGGATTATAAAGATTTTGTATGTGAAATTTGACAATTTTCTGATCCATAAAAGTATTTTAATCTTAAAATCAAAATTACTTTGCATGTTGGATAGTCAACATCCAAAAAGAAAAAAATGCATGAGCAGATCATTACTTAAAAAATCTTAAAACTTTAATGAAAAAATCTGATATTTTGTGTACTAAAGCCTTGTAATATTTACTGATAATATGCAAAATTTCATAAAGATATGCTTCCTGTATTAAAAGATATAGTTTGAAAACTATAACAAACACAAAATGGTTATGAGGTCAATCCCTGGAACCGAGCCTGTAGTGAGAGAGTTAAACTTAATTTTGTAACAGTTATCTTCCCTGCTGGTTACATTGTTGGTAAAAGGTGTGGTCCATAAAAATTAGAATATGAGATAGGATTTAATTCTTCAGTTTTAGTTGATTTTTATTTCTTTGTATCAGTTATTAGATAGAGATTTATAGAAACCAATAATACTGAAACTTTTTTTTTGTATTTTAAATGTAATTAAATGTCCTTATGATCTAAATCAATTGAACCTATACTAAGCATCTTATTATAATGGAGCTGGCAATATACATGTCCAAAACTCGGATCTTGGAAAATACTGCACGAATCATCACCAGTCATAACTGAGTAATATTTTTATAACTAGGCAGTATTTCTATAGCTGAGCAATAAATAAAACAATTGAAATTTTTACAAAAATTATATGTTTCAGGTTTAACCAATAAAAATTACAAACAAAAAAGGAGTAGATTTCAGATTTAACCAACAAAAATTACAAAAAAGAAGTAAGTTTCAAATATAAAATAATCAAAAACAAACTTAAAAGAAATTATTTGTTTTTCTTTAGGGAAAATCTCAGGAGTGTTGCAATAGAAAAGCAAGGCACTTTCATTGATAATTGCATCTACAAAGAAATACTTCTATAAAATTTACTCTGTGATGTAATGCTGTGATGATATCTCATTTTAAACTAAAATTTCATTAAAATCCTTTTTTCTTGTGGATGGTGAACATTATTGAATGTCAAGTATGAGTACATTGTTGTAGAACTGTTGGAGAATTCCGGAAAAGGCCGCAGGCCCAACATGCTTCTGCAGGAACTAGTAGTTATACCTGCCTGGAAGGTATTTCTGCTAGTGTAAATAAAGAGACAGCTTTAGTTCAAAACAACTGTTACTTATTTGACATTTAATAATATTGTTTGCCATTATATTTACTTAAAAAAATAATATATTTTCATTAGTAACACTTTTGATGCATTTATTTTTGGTCAGTAGTTTCAGAAAGCTTTGAGGATTATGGAAATAAGCTTCTTTGATTACACATCCATCCCAACAGTATCTACTTTTTTATACTTGTTAATTTACCAAACAAAAAAGAATAAACAAGTACATATGTTACATAATAACAGTTAAATGAATGGAAAACTCTTTCACAAGGTATTATGTAACATTGTGTGAAGTTTCACATCCCTATTTCCCCAAAATTACTTTCGTTTTGTCCAGAAAGGTTGAGTATATAAATTCCATGCTCTACCTTTATGTCTGGCTTCTGCACCCTACATATTCTATGAGGTGGTCAGGGCCTTAGCCCATCTTCTTTATTCTTATGGTCTGCAGTTTCACCATTATATAGATGATTGGTTGCCTTTAGCTCCATCCCTACACACATCTCACGCTCACACACATTTACTTCTCTGGGAAGTAGCTCATGTGGGTTGGTTGGTCAAGTTGGAGAAGTCCTTCCTCATCCCAACTCATCCATTTGGGAGTATTCTTCAATTCATATCTCAGTCATGTCCAGCCTTTTCCTTTCCATTTGAGATTGATGGAGCTCTTAGTTCTTAAAGTGCAATCCTCTCCTTCTCTCACTGCATGCAAGGTTCTATCTCATTTGGGAACTTAGGCTTTCATGGAAGCTCTCATTCCTGTGGGTCATGCTCACATGCAAGTTCTTCAGAGGGTATTATACAATCAATGGAATCATGCTCAGGATCTCCTGGACTCCATTATCCTTCTTCCTCCCTCACTACTTGTTGATTTAGCCTGGTGGCTCAACAGGAACAACACCACGGCTGGCATTTCTCTTCCACCTTCCCCTCCTGAGTTGCATCTGTTTACAGATGCTTCTTTGACAGATTGGAGGCATTTATGGATTCCCAAGAGATCACAGGTCTTTGGTCAAATCGACTCTACACACCAATCTTCTTGATCTACTTGCCCTTCATTGGGCTTTGTATAATTTCCTACCTTTGGTACTGGACAAGTTGGTCATGATCCATATTGACAGTTTGATTGTTTTCTCTTACATCAATTGACAAGGGGGCACCTGTTCACATTCATTTTGTTTTTGAATGTTGGAACTCTTCTTCTGGCCCCTTTTTTATCACATAGGCCTGCTGGCATGTCATGTAACAGGTGCTCTGAATTTTGTTATGGATGGCTTATCTCATTATGATAAAATTCTCCCGACAGAGTGGTCCCTAGATCCCAGGTGTATCCATGGTTGTGTGCCCAGTGGGGTCCTTCTGGATGCATTTGCCATCCACCTCAATTCCAAACTTCCCCTCTTCTGGTCCCCAGTTCCACATTCTTTGGCTTTGGCAGTAGTTGCCTTTAGTCAAGATTGGTCCAACCTTTGCCTTTATTCCAATCATCCTATCTGCCTCCTTGTCTGGGTTTTATGCCTCATTCAAACTATTCCTTGTTGAGTCCTTCTCTTTGCACCTTTCTGGCCTGTTCAAATATAGTTTCTAATCACTACCTTCCTTCAGTCACCTCCCTCGTCACCACTTCCACTTTCCTGCTCCCTTCTCTGGCAACCTCAATCATCCCACCATAACCACACTCCAGCTTCATGTGCAGCATTTATAGAATCCCTTCTTTTTTTATTCAGTCCATCCTTCATACTTAATGGTTTATCAAAGAAAATGGCAAGTTTTCTGCCATTGGTCTCTGCACCATGGTTAACTCCCTTCTCATCCTAGTGTTCCTCACATCTCAGAGATTTTTACCTGGCTTTTCGACAATGGTTCGTATGGTTATTGAGCAGCCTTATCCACTACCTTCCATTTTTCTCTTTCCTGTAGAATTTTTTTTCCTCTCCTGTCCTCTCCTACTTGTATCACACCTTTCATTTCCTTTTTCCACCTTGTCCTATGCTCTTTCTAGATTGGAACCTCAATGTAGTTCACCATGCCTTTATCCAACCTCTTTTTGAAATCTTGGATACCTGTTCCTTATACCACCTGTAATTGAAAACCTATATTTTTGCTCTAGTATCTAGTCTAGTATCTTCACCCTCAATGTTTTCCATATTTTTTATCACCATACCATTGCTCTCCTGTATCCATGTTGTAGTTTTTTCCCCAAGATATCAGCAACTCATGAGGGTGATGTCACTTTCACACCAGTTTACCTCCCTTCAAATTCTCATATTTATTCCCACTCCAGATTGTCTTCTCTGTTCTGTTTGTGTTTTCTGATATTATGTTGCCTGCATGACTACCTTCTGTGATTCCCATTCCTGCGTATTTCTCCATTGGAATCCTTCCTCCACCCGAGACATTTCCACTGTGACCCTTATGGGTTAGATTTGATTTGCCAACTTGTTTGGTTGGTTTATTCTTTTTTGTCTCCCGATTACCATCATATTTTTAGGCAACCTCACACTAGATCCATCATCTCACCCTCTCCCTGGCTACCCACTTCCATATTCCATTGGGAGAAATCATTCAGGCTGGCATGTGAACCATGCCACAGATCTTCATCACTCATCTGCATCATGTGGCTGTTTCATCCTTTGGATACCAGTTACCACTCGTTGCCATTCTACATGCCTCATTTCAACTGTGAGTGGATAAGTATTTTTCTCTTTCAAAAC